TAGTGGATGCCTGGATAGTCATACAGGCTGAATGGGTGTGTGAGGGGCACTGGGAGAATGTCTAGGAATATAAGTACAAGCTTGGTGAAGGATATTTGTAGATGTGTATATATGTTTGCTGCAAATACATCCATGAATGTAGTGGAGCATCCAGGAGGCAAAGCTATGAAAATTTCTTAGATAGGCGAACATCTTGAGGGTCTGAGTCACTGGGCCTAGAGGATCTGGACCATTGCACCAAGGTCAATTGGCCTAAATGTTCACCAAGACAATGTTTCACAACCTACTTTGGTTAAGTAGTGATTAGGCTCTTAAAAGTTCGTGGACAGCCATCAAAGCTGTTGAAAATGGAAAGAAATGGAATCAGTCCAACAAATTAACAGCCACACAAACATCTCCACAACTCTGAGACCAGAAGAACTAGGTGGTGCCCAGCTACCACTACCAACTGCTCTGAAAGGGATCACATGAGAAGGTCCTGGGTAGAGTGGAAAAAACTGTGGACCAGATCCCCAAATTGGAAAGAGCTCAGGCTTTGTCAGCAGGCTTGTTTTACAGAAAAGGGACTGACTTGCTTAGTGGCATCATCCTGGAGCTCTGTCAGAAATATCCAGACTTAAATTTCAAAATTGGGAGAGACGGTCCAAAGAGAATCATTTTGGAAGAAGTTCTCGGAAGACACCAGCTTCATGACAGGGTGTGTTTCATGGGAGGCTTAGATCATAAGGACATTCGAAATGTCTTGGGTCAGGGATGTGTTTTTCTTTACACCTCCCTTCCCACCGTGTTCTGCATGAGTATGCGTGGCAATAGTGGAAGCGGCCAGTTACGGACTACGGGTTGTTTTAAGTACCAGAGCTTGTGGAATTCCTGAATTGCTGCCAGAAAAATCGTATTATTTTATGTGAGCCTTCCATAAAATCTTTGGGTGAAGGACTGGAAAAGGCTATTTTTCAGCTGGGTCAGGAGCATTGCCTGCCCCAGAGACTATCCAGATGTTGTCAAGACTTGCTACCTAGAAGAAGGTTTTGGAAAGAGTGGACACAGTGTAAGACTGGATGGCTGGCCAATCGGTGTTACCCATGGACAAACGACCAGATCCCCTCCTCTCACGGTGGCCCAGGAACCGGCTGCCTTGTCACCTTGTTGGAGGTCTTCAGTCTCCTCTTCCTCGTTCTTCTGCGACAGATCACCCGATTCCATCACTGAGGTTGCACTAAATGCCTGTGGGTCCCAGAAAGTCTGGGCTCCTCTCCAGTGTTCTCACAGCCAAAAGAGGGGCCAGAAGAGCGAAGGCTCTAAACCAGGTGGAAGAAGGCTGGGACGGGAAGATTGGCGATGGTTCTATGGAGACTATTGCAAATAAGTTTCGTTGTTTTTAAAGTTGATTTCGTATCCGATGCCATCTTCTTGATCATTCCGTGTTTTATTTTGAGGAGAGGGGGGAAATGTATGCAAACCCTGAGTGTGGAAACTCCTTGCCCTTGTTTCACCCGGGAGATAGCTTGATGCGGCTCAAGCAAGCAACTTCTCAGACCGCTGAAACACACCCCTCTGGTCCAGAGGTTTGAACATCCTGTTTGGGGAGCTTTGGGTGCTGAAGGGCCAAACATTTTCTGGGTCTTTTTTTATTTTTTGGCCTAGTTCTCAATGTTACTCTCTGCATTATACATTTGCCAGATGTTGACACATTTCTTCAGTGAAGTACAAAAACTTTGAGCTATTCTAAATGATGTTCTTAAACACTTACTGTGGGCACTCAATAAACCTCTCTTAGAACCAGCAGATTTCTCTTGTGGGATGGTCTGTTATCAGCACCCCTGCAGCATCTGCTCTATGTGAACGTTAAGCTGGGTCCTTCCTGCTGGGTAGGACCAGAGGGGCAGCTAGCTCCTCTGTGCTTGGTACTCAAAGAGACCTTACCATGCCCTAGTGTAACTTACTATCCCCCAGGCCCTCAGTGGCTGGTCAAGTCTGAGCCCTTCACTGAGCCTGCTGCCCAGGTTTGCCGAGGGCAGTAGTTCTCGAACGACCCTTTCACAGGGGTCACCCAATTCCTAACAGTAGCAAAACGACAGTTATGAAGTAGCAACAAAAATGATTTTATGGTTAGGGGGTCACCACACCATGAAGCACTGGTTGAGAACCACAGCTAGGGAGAGCCCTTGTCGTCAGCACCCTTTGAAGACATTTTACCCTGGAGACACGAAGGACCATTCACTGTTGAGGATCATGCGGAGAAACCCCCTGCCCTTCAATTCAGGGGTTCATCTTCTGAATCACCTTCTTGCATTCTGAGTAGAACATACGGGGGGTGCCCTCTTCAAGTCAGCTGCTGTCCCACGCCTGGGTGCTCAGTTTTTCCCCTCCACGGGTGGTCTCGCTGATGCTGCTAAGTATTGTCTTGTACCAAGTCTCACCTAGACTTGATGCATTTCATCTGTCAGACCATGTTGGCACAGTCTCTCTGTGGATGAATGCTGCTGTTTATGCAGCCAAGAGCTATGGGGATCTGAACCCTGTTTGTTGCCACACAATGTATATTACTACTTCTTGAAGCTCTTTTAGATTGTTTTGTTGCTACAAGACTGAAATCGGAGGGATGAGGTACTTGTGGGCAAACGAGGGGAAATTATGTCAGTATTCTTAATGTTTGCATTTCCCAAATTTCTTAAACCATCACACGATTGTGGTTGTCAGATTAAAATATATATATTTATACATATATATAAATATATATACATATATATAGTATTTGGTTTGTTTGAAAACAACAATTTTGGGATTTAGAAATTAGAATTTCTTTGAGAGAAAGAAAAAGTGGACTAATCCACACCATTGAATCTTAATGAGGATTTCCAGGTGGAGAAACGAAATTAGATGAATATGAAATGTGACAACATCAATACTGGTGAGAAATGCTTAGTTTTACACTTTTTTCTGTTCTGCAATTTAAAAAGGCATCCTACTGTGTTTTTCCAGCCCCCTCCAAAATTGTCACGTGTATTTGATGTACCTTAAGACAGAAAAAGGATTTCAGTTGTTTTTGCATGTAAAACTTGTCATTTTGCAAATGAAAATTATTTTCCTTGGATTTTTTTCTTAAGCAAATGGAAGGCAAATTTGTTGGGCCTCTAGAGATCATCATTGTCAAGCTTCCTGGATGCCTTACTTGTGTATGAAACCATCTTGTGCTTGTGTGTTATCATACATTGCACATGTACATGCTCCATGTCCAAAAATAAAACTCAAAATGGCAAAAACCCACCCCACCCCACCCCCCACTGAGGCAGACCCAGCTTATTGGTTCGAGGCTGTTGGGATCTCCACGGCTATGACCCTTCGTCACCTTCCAGAGGTCTGGAACTGAACTCATCTCCCATGTGGAAATAATCAGGCCCTGAAGGTCAGGTCAAAAGAGCAGCCTTTACCAAAGGTCAAAGTTCAGAGGGTCAGGAAATGAGGAGGAAAGGAAATACAGTAGTTCAGATGGGGAGGAAGTGGGATTGGTGATGGTTCCCAGAAGGGGTTGCAATGGATGAGCTGAAAGAAAATGTTTAGGAACTGTTGGATGTAAAACTGAGCATTTGCTTTGTAAGCCATCACTAATTCATAATAGTTGTTCTTTTTCAAAAGGTTTTGGAAGGAACAGTCTATCCTAAGACATTATCAACTCCAAGAGAATAGTTTACGAAGTTTTGTCCAAATGTTCTTATCCGGTACTTCCTACAGGCAGTCAAGGTAGGTGCTGCCTCCTTTTTAAGAATCTTTAAGGTAGGCCCTCAAGTTCACTGCAGATTGACCATGAGGCTGAAGCACAGCACGAGCGCGTAGGGAATTCTTAGAGACAAACCAGGCGCTTTAGCAAGTGAGCTGCCTGGTTCTCGATGAGATGGAAGCAAAATGTGTATTCATTTTGGAGCAATTATCATTAAAAACTATATCCACCTCATCCCTCATTCCCACCTTTATTAAGCAGCTGCCATATGCACGACTCTGTGCTAACTATGCAGGGAATACGAAGATAAATGATAAAATGGTGGCAACTCTCAAAGAGCTTACAAACGATGAGAGTGACAGGTCATTTAACACAAACTATGGGAAAAAAACTGCAGTAAACAATTGCCCAGATTGAGAAAAATCGCCTTCTTTCTTTAATTCTTTTTTTTTTTTCTTTCTTGAATTCATAGTCTATCTGTACACTGCCATTTGGGGAAAACTGCTATTATATACATCTGGGTTAATAACGTATATTCGCAAAAGGATATGATCATTTTTAAGAACTGAAAAAAAAAAAAGAAATGGAGTGTCTCATCATACCACTCCTTTGTGGTTGGTTTGAATGTTTAAAACTCAAATTTGCGCTGCGCAGACCTGGCTGCTGAAATCCTGGCCGTCCCGGAGTGAGATCACCCTGCACCCCCTGCCAGTGACCGGCCGAACAGAAGCTGCCTGCCCCTCCAAATCCCTCCCACGAGCTCAACTGATCAAAGAAAAAGATGACACAGATCATTACATGGAAGGGAATTTCAAAGGATTATCAAAGGAAGAGGTTGCTGCGATGCACATTCACCCATTTCTAGCTTGCCCAGGAGACGCCGCACATCCACTGCGTCTGCGATGCCATGTTTTCTTCCTGAAGAGCTCGCTCTTCTCGTGTTGAGAGGACTCCGTCAGTCTCTCCATCAATTTCGCCAGGATTCCCATTCACTTTCACCCAGTGAAATCAGTGACTTCGGGTCAATGAGCTATTTCATCTACTGAGAGTTACAAACACTATATTCAGCTGATTTAATACACTAGTGAATCAAAAAAAACCTAGATGTCCTAAATCTATTAACAACAAAAAATAATGAATTTGAATTCTGTTTACATTTCTACTTCTGGTCAAAACACATATTCATCTGGATATGGAGTTTGGTAATGCTCCTCTGTGATGAAATACAATCTGAGAAAAATAAAATTGAAAAAAAAAAAGGCAGAAATTGGCACACATTTTGTTTGCAGACATCGGTGCATTTTAATAATGAACATAATTCTGGTTAAAGGAAATTCATTGTGGTAGCAATTGTACAATATTGCTTGATGTACATGAATTATGGAATGATATGATGATAGCTGTATTATCTCCCATTAAAAAGGTTTGGGGGGAAAATAAAAGAATCGTATAAACGATGAAGGTTTAAAGAAGAGTCTACTTAATACATTGCTGTAATTGTTCCTTTTTGCTCTCCAGGTTTAAACAATGACATGCATGTATGTATGTGTCTGCAAAATGGAGACAATATCGATATAGTTATATACATATTAATATTTTTCTATTTGGGAAAAAACCACACACACAAATTTGCTTAAAGAGGGAACATGCAGATGCATAAATTCAGTAAAACATGTGCCCGTCAGACCAAATGCTGCTTGCAATAATGTGTAAACATGTGTGCAGAGTCTCCAGTCTTAAAGCCCTAAATCTGAGTTATACGATTTGTACAATTGTATCGCCTCTGAGACCGGGATTTGGACCCAAGCTTGAAGGTCAAAGTGAAGGTGAGAATGGCATTGGCATTTTCAGAGTTCCCTCTCAGGGCAGAAGCAAAAGTACATTTGTAAGTGTCTTGCTCTGAAATTCTAGCTTATTGCTTGCTTTTTTAATTACTCAGATACAAAACTTTCAAATATCTCACAAAACAAGTTTGAGGATTCACTCTGGGAGGTGCAATTCAGAGAAAAAGGATGGGCAGACGGTACCGTTTTAAAAATATTTATCGATTCACATTTTCCAGAAAAACCCTGTCAAGCACATCACCAAATAAAGACCAGTACTCTCTGTTCTCAGGACTCAGCATTTCTTTTCCACCAAACAGAATGGAGAGTATACTATATATACACTTGTATAACTAGTCGGTGACATCGTGACTCTCAAGCATTTTTTTAAAAGATACGATCAAAGTTGCAAACAGATGCTATTGTACTGATTAGAAAAACTGCAGAAGCAAAAACCTTGTTCTCATGGACCAAAGGGCCAATCAGCTGGAGTAACCCTGTGGAAGCCGCAGGGGACTGTGCTCCCCGGCCCAGCATGGCACGTAGGGGCAGAAGCAGCTTCGTGGGAGTGTTGAACACTGCAGTGAGGCTGATGGGGCAGGAGGGGCGGCCTTGCTGCTGTCGTCTTAGTCTACAGAATTCTCTTCCCCACTTTCTCCAGCGATTCCATCCTCTTCCTTGCATAACTCCTGGCCGTCGGGGTCGAGAGAATCCCTGTCTTCCCCATTCTCTCTCTCGTCTCTTTTTTCTTCATGGAGGCTAGAGGAAGAAATGGATCAATCTTTCACAGGAACAATGACTTGTTGTGAAGGTTACCAAACCCTTTGCAATGCATGCATAGACTCGGTGCTTCCTCAATGTCTCAGTTCCAATTTGTTATCATAAAACGAGCCAATGGGGAAATTAAATATTCCTCTGGGCACTATTTTATTTCAAAACTTGAATAACTGATGCTTTAAAATTCATTTTGAAAGCATGTGGTTATTATTTTCGTGGTTTATGTGAGTCTGGAATCTAACTTATTTAAAAAACAAAACAAAACAAAATATCTCATCACCATGCAACCTTTTGAATGTGTCAAACACGTTAAAATGTCATTGTTGCACGGCAGTTCCCAGATATTCCACTGGGAAAAAGGACCTGTGAACAACAGTATGGACAATACACGTTCTTGCAGGTAACAGTGCTTTCAAAGGTAAGCCATGCAGACTTCTTACATATGTTACCTTCCTTCGTCTTCGGTGAAATGTTCCATCTCCGGCTGGCTGAAGTACTCAAGAATGTTCCCCCTTCGGCCTTTCTTTGAAACAAACTCATCACAGATTCCTAGCGCCTTTAGGGTGTTAGAATAATGCCTTTCTGCCGCCATTCTCGCATTTTTCTATAGGAAAGACAAACCTTTTTAGACGGGAACACAAGAGTTCTAAATTTCCTTACAAGATCTTCCGGGTGTCGAGCTCCAGTGAGAATTAAGGTCAGTCAGCACAGGTGGGTAAACATGTGTAGACGCTATGACAGCAAATCTGCTTCTAGGGCGCTCCCAGCACAACTCTGGAAGATGCACCCGGGAAACATGGACAGGAATGTTCATGAGCACACTATTTGTGATAGCCCCAGGCTAGAAGCAACCCGAATATCCTGCAAGAGTAGGCTGGATAAAGAAATTTGGGGCTAGTCAAACAGGAAGTATGGTCAAGCACTGAACACTGGTGACCTGCAGCTATGAGAGGACATAAAACAGAGGGTCTGACCCACTGACACGAAGTCCAGAAGCTGGCCAAACCAAACATTTCGTCTGGGAATATGGACCCAGGTGATACAAATGCAGAGGCAAACAAGGCTCCAGGCTTGGTATAATGGTGTTTCCTAGGGGAGAGGTCATGGGTTATGACCTGGGGAGGGCAGAGGGACTCCCTGGAGTGTTGGCAATGGGTGTTTGTTAACCTGTGTGGTTAGCACCTGAGTATTTGACCTACACTGAACCAATGTTTTAATGCCCTGTATGACTATAGACAGACAACTGAAAAACAGGAAATAAGGTCATGTGATAGCTGTCGCACATTCTCTTATAAAGATGATACGGTCATCATCTCTACTCTGTAGAGCAGTGGTTCTCAACCTTCCTAATGCTGCCACCCTTTCATACAGTGCCTCATGTGGTGGTGACCCCCAACCATAAAAGTATTGTTGTGGCTACTTCATCACTGTCATTTTGTTACTGTTATGAATTGGGCGACCCCTGTGAAAGCACTCATTGTGAATAACAAGAATTTGGGGGAAAGTAAAGAAGCCTCCAGAAGCTAGGCCTTGGGGAGCGGAAAGGCTGGGCAGAGTGAGGAAATGAGAACTGTGCCCCGAAGGCTGTGGAGAAGAAAGAACCCCCAGAGCTAACTATGAACGCAACACCAACTGCCCCTCTCCAAACCAAGAACAGAACACTTGAACAGTGCCATCCAGTTAACGCTGACTCATAGCAAGCCTGTAGGCCAGAGAAGGGTTTCCTAGGGTGTCCATCTTTACAAGCCGGCTGCCGCAGCCGCATCTTTCTGCCACAGCGCTGCTGGGGGGTTTGAGTCACCAAGCTTTCGGCTACAAACCCAGCACTTACCCACAATTTAACCAGGGCTGTTTCTGAATGGATTAAGGACAGAAACTGGATTGGTGGTTCCTTAGGGGGATGGTGGGAAGGCTGGGGGGATATGGGGTGCTGATAACGAGGAGTACAAGGACGAAGATGTTCTAGAACTGATTATGGTGATAATTGTACAACTCTTCTCGATGTGATTGAACTGTTGAATTGTATGATATGTGAATTATATGTCCAGAAAACTGTTAAAAAAGAAAAAGGATTTTTAAAAAGAATAATAATAGCATTCTCTGACTTAAGCAAATTAAATACAAAGCAGTGAAGGTTACAGTCAAAGTCAGTGCAAGTAAACCCTCATCTAAATTTGGTTTAAAATTCAATTTATTATCCATTCAGGTTGATAATCAGCCTCATTATTCAAAAGGAGCAAAACAACATGGCTTGTTGTGTAATGCATCCCAGGCATGTTCCCATAGGAGATAACTCAACAGCAGCATGGTAACAATTAAATTATAAATGGTTAATGCTACAGCCACTCTGTACAGAGTTACCTTTTAATATTGTACAAGGTGAACACTTTGCAATTATCTCTAGTTGAAATGAACATTTCCCCTTGCATTTAAGTGAGCAATGGAAAAATCACTGTGTAGTTATTTTATAACAATGACTATTAAAAAAACAAACCAGGATACAAAAGTTGGAGGTGGGATCAATGATGTTACATTGTGGGGATTGTAATTACTGATGCGAAACGAAATGTATACACCGTTTGAATGCAAAATGCATGTGGTCTAGAGAACTTCACCAAATTCACAAGTTTTTGTTTGCTTTAAAAAAAAAAAAGCTGAGCCAGTAAGGGTGCGATGTAACGATGAAAAATACAACTTTCCTCTAGTTCCTAAATGTTTCCTCCTCGCTCCCACTACCATGACTCGAATTTGACCTTGCAAGTCTGGCTAGACCACAGGATGTACACTGGTACAGATAGGAACTGAAAATCCAGGGAATCCAGGGCGGGTGAGCCCTACAGGACCAGTGGTGTGAGTGGCGAAACAGGGAGGGTAGAGGGAGAGTGGGTAGGAAAGAGGGAACCGATTACAAGGAACTATATGTGACCTCCTCCCTGAGGGACGGACAACCGAAAAGTGGGTGAAGGGAGACGTCGGACAGGGCAAGATATGACAAAATAACAATTTATAAACTATCAAGGGTTCATGAAGGAGGGGGGAGCGGGGAGGGAGGGGAAAAATGAGGACCTAATGCCGGGGGTTTAAGTGGAGAGAAAATGTTTTGAGAATGATGAGGACAATGAATGTACAAATGCGCTTTACATAATTGATGTGTGTATGGATTGTGATAAGAGTTTTATGAGCCCCTAATAAAATGATTTTTTTTAAAAATTAAAAAAACGAAACAAAAAAAAAAAACTTGCTTCTTCCAGAAACTAAAATACCAGGAAAAATGAAAGCACCCTGATTTGAAGTTTTGCTTATAATAATTCTTTCATTTATTAATATTTAGCACACTGGTGTTTGGACGTGCCCTCGTGGTGGAGGGGTTTATAGAGTGAGAAGGGTTTGGAAGGAGGAAACTCCTGATGTGGGACCCCAAAATGGTGAAGCATTGAAAGAAACAGCAGATATGACACTAACCTACATTTTCAACTTGAAACTTTCTTTATGAGTTTAATTTTACACGCACCCCATTTATTTTCCCTGGTGTTTAGAAAGAGTTGGAATTTACACAGTGGCCGGTCGGGTTGTGTGCTCAGCCTGGGCCAACTCCCAGAGAGGGCCATGTGCCGTACTGGCAGGGCTAATGCCATCAAGGTCATTCAGTCTGGGTTCACAAACGCTTACACAAATACCTGCTCTGCCCCCGACACTGTCTCAGGTGCTGGGAATACAGAAACCTGATCATCACCTTTAACATTAAGTAGCTAGGAGAGAGATGGGTACACAGAAGATTGCTGTACAATGGGGTGGGGGTGGGGATCAAGGCAGAGGTGTGCAGAGACCAGGACAGACAGGACAGAAAAGGCACTGGACCCAGTATGAAGAAGGGACACCTTCAAGACCAAGTCTTGAAAGCCACGCTAGGAATTAGGTTAAGACAGGAAGAAACCTCAAGGGTGTGCCAGGTTGAGAAAATAACACGAATAAAAAAAAATTCCAAGTTTAAAATTCTTACTCCAGCATGACCTGAAGACAAAGGTGTGTGTGAGGGCATGCGTGTACACAGCGGGGAGGGCAGAGTGTCGTGGGCGAGGTCAAAGAGGCTCACAGAAATCTCTTCCCAGGCTACCACTCAGGGGCGCATTTCTGGGGCAGGAAGCCAGATGGCTTATTGTTGGAAGCAGACTGACGTGGGTTCTCATCATAGACCAGCCACTGACGAACAATAGAACCTTGTAAGTTACTTTTCCGGAACTTCAGTTACTGTTTGTACACATACTAGGGAGAAGTCCATGGTGAGGTTCTTAGACACCATTCATTAGCAGCGAGAATGAATGGAGCGTGAGCAGATGACTACTGCTCTCAAGATTCTTCAAAAAAGCTCACTGCCATCGAGTCAATTCTGTACGTGTGGATCGCAGCCCAATACGTAACCACAACCTCACGAGGGCTCAAGAGTTCTTAACAAGCTCTCCACCCATCCCCCCCAAAAGGCGGCAGTTGCCATGTGAGACTAACACATGCTCTATTCTATTGCAGTTCATGTGAGCCCACGTGTGTCGGAATACAACTGTGCTTCAGAGGGTTTTCAGTGACTGTAGTTCATCAAATCTTTCTTGTAGATCTTAACTTCTAACTTTTCAGTTCGGAGCCAGGTGTTGAACCATTTACAGTACCCAGGGATTCATTATTAAATAATTACCTCGGGGTAAAAGGTTGGCCTGGGAATGTCAAGGACAAGATATAATGGGTGGGTTTGCAAAGTACAAAGCAAGATGACCAGTTAAAGGAGAATTCAGATAGGAAATAACATAGGTTTCACCTGACAGGTGGACAACCAGGATGGTGGAGAATCTAATTTAAAATTGAGGATGAAACATTGAGGATAAAAAGATAAAAAAAAAAAAAAGAGAGAGAGAGAAGATAAATAGGTCTCTTGGTGGGAGGAAGGGATCTGGGCAGGGTGGGGGAGTGGGAGCCAGTCACCTACATTGTGTTCCCAACCAAAACAGGACATCAGAGAACTAGTTAGTGGGTGGCAGGATGCATGGGAGATACACACGGGAATCCTGGTGACCAGTGAAGAGAACTATTTTGGGACCACAGGAAATCACTTTATGATGTACACAGTAAAACAGCTTATAATGACTTTCCCCTCAAAAGTTAAAATGGAAATGTTAATTAAAAAAATCCACTCCCAGGGAGCCACAGGTCTAGGCTGTCCTGAGCTACACTCATCGTCCCTCACGTATGCTGGCAAGATGCTCCAACTGTCTGTCTGATCATCCAGCTTGAAATTCACAACACGGCACCGGCCACCTCTAGTGATTTCTGTCTGTCACCCACACAAACCTCACCCATTGTGGGCACACAAAAAAGACAACCTGAATTGACAAATCTCCCTGAAGAGAAAGGTTATAAAATGGGGCATAAATTCAGTACAATCAGGGCCCAATGTCCTTAAGACTAGTTTGCTCTTCCTTTCAAAAGGAAGTCCTTCCTGTAAATGTAGGGGAGATAGAAAATTATAGACTCAAAAAAAAAAAGAAAGAAAGAAAAAGAAAATTATAGACTCACTTAAAAAAAAAGGGCAGAAATGAATCTGATTCGATTAGCCATTTTGTTTCATTTTTTAATCCCACGACCCCCATATCATATTATGAAGCCTCACACGTAATAAGACTTGGCAAGTTGGTACTGCAAAAAAGCCCAGGGTTCAAAACTGGTTGTGAGATTATTGTTTAGAGAACAATTAAATTAGCAGTGTGTTCCTTATCATGCTTACATGCCTCATCAAAAGATTCAATGCTCAGATTTTACGGAGAATTACTTACTTGGCTGATTGATGAAGTTGTCACGGAAACAATAACACATCGAAGAGCATTATATAACACGCAAGAAAAACGGGCTGTAAAAGTATGAGCTGAAGATGCTTAAAAAAAGACAAGAAGCTGATAATCACTCTTAAATTCCCACAAACACAACCTGAGCAACTTTTTCAAATAGTAGAGGCCTCTTTGTTAACTTCTCTTCTCTGGCTTCAAGTTCCTGTCGGTATTCTCTCCTCCTCTCCTTCTCACTCCTTCTAAAAGGAAACAGAAGAAATGAGGTTTGCAAAGCTCCCTGAGAACCTAGAGCTCGTACACATAAACATTTAGCCCACACAGCACACCAGGAATTAGTTTACTAAAAATGTAGTTTGCCCCAATTCCTTTCCCAGGCTGGCATCTTTTCGTGAAACGGAAAATAAGTCTGGGGATTCTGGGCCTCGTGACACCTTCGAGGCATGAAGGGGCTCTACAGTGGCTGGAAGAGATGAGCGAGGGCTTCTGTATCTCACTTCTGAGTTGTCAGGGCACAAAAACTAGGCACCCTTGAGGGAAAAGGGCTATCTTCAAGGGAACTTGTGCTGAAACGAGCTCTGCTTGATTTCCTCCGGGATCGCCGCCGATGAGTGGCGGCGGTCATCAAATGGATGCAAGTCTGAGAAAAAGTAGAGGGGCTCGGAATAGGGACTCCAGAGGGACAGGAAGCAAAGTGCGTGAACTGACCCAAGGGTATTGATTCTTTGGACACCATCCTATACTGAATTGAACTGTGCTATTTTCTCTTTGTAAAATATATTAACTCTAGGAAGATTTCATGAACCATAAAACAGATTTATACCATAATGTTATAAGCTATACTTAATATCTATACAAGTTGATTTTATGAAAGAGCCAGTTTTCTTCAAAAAAGATGTATATTTCTAAGGAATTTTCCTCAAGCTCGTCAAATTAAGTTCCCTGTAGCCATAGATTAATATTCTATTATAAAGGTATAAGGATGATTAAAAACAAATATATAAAATCTATGAAAGTAAAAAAGTATTGCAGCCAGACCATAGAAACTGTTTTTTCCTTTTCCGTAAACTTTTATTAAGCAAAAGTGTCAAAATGTAAAGCTTTTGCTCCTCTTTACACAGCCACCCTCTAGGTCCAAACCCTTCTGAAGATCGTCTCCCCATCTCTCCAGCCCTTCCCCAAAGAATTCTATGCTCTTTGATTTGCACATTAAAACAGTAGTGTGAGCAAGGAACTCAACTCATGCTCCTTGCCTATGTTTTTGGCGTCTCGAGAACAAAGAGAAGTCTGAAGGGGCAAGACTAGGGCTGTGGGGCCGATGTGCTAGTGCTAACCACATTCTGGCCAGACAGTCCTTCCTCCCTGGAAGAATGAGCGGGTGACGGTTGTGAAGGTAAACAATTCTTTGGCCCAACTTTCTACTTTCCTGGCCGTTTTTCTCACCAATGCACTTTTTCATTTTCTTTTCAGTTTTTTATTTTCTTCAAACTTCTTCGTATCATGACCCCATGATCATTCTGTGATGTTTGGGGAAATCTGTCAAGATTGCCCCTTTGAAAATTCTTTTTAAAGGCCAACCACAAACTTCTGAACTAACCAGAGGCTCTGTCTGGAATTGAACTGACTCAACAGATTCCCTCAGAAGATCTTTTTGTGTGTGTGTGGGGTAGGTGGAGTGAGTGAGTGTTGGGATTGGGGAGAATCCCATCTGATTTTATTTACTTAAAAGTTTTTTTATAATATTTAAATGGATTTTTTAAAGGCACCTGTTTTGCTTGGAATAGGCCCATGCAAGTATGAATACGTAACCTTAGTAGCAATACTTTTTTACATACTCTTGTAAACATATCTATTGTCTCATATATGCAACCCCCCCCCCACGCATCAGATTGTTTAAAGGTAATGAATCACATCACCCAGATTTCAAGGATACTCTTCCACCAAAACATGAACATTTCTATGTAACACATAGAAATGTCCCTCTGGGACATTGGTTTTCAAACTTCCTACTCCAGGGTCCTAGTGTTCCGTGGAGTTGTACAGGTTGTACATAATATTTTTTGGATTAAAATAGTAACAAGATTCAAAACACACACTGTAAATACACCCTGGAATAAGACATGGGCATCAATGTGTTCATTTGTGCCACCAGATTCTGTGCAAATTTTGGTACAATGCTCTTTGCCACAGCCCCCGATTGAAGCATATTCTGATAACATGGCAAGTTGTTTTTTTTAAAAAATTGTTCAAAATCAAGATTTCTCGTAATCTTGTCATTTGAATCACTTACATAAAACTACTAATATCTAACCTGTTTCTATGTGGCCATCTATTGATTAAAAAAAGGAAGTTTGAATACCAATGATCTAGAGGTCCAGGATTCATGATACCTGAGAGATTTTATTCTGGATTTAGACCTTTGAGCTAAACTTTCATGTGAATCATAAGCCTTAGCCCGGGTTATCAGGAGTTTTTGCAATTCCTTCATTCTTTGCTTCTGTTTGGTTAGGATCCGATTTCTTTCTTCTTCCAACATTTTCTTTTCCTCAAGGGATCTCCTGAGGACAACAAACTAATGCTTAATCCACTGCAGGCCGAGGACAAAGAAACAAACGTCCCTTAGTCAAGATTTAACAGAGCACCAAGCGAAGGTTGAGGCCTGACTTATGAAAATGGGCTGCAATAGGCTGACTGTAATCTTTTCAACCCCCAAAGGTTCAATGAGAGATGCTTTCATTTCTTAGACCATCACTCTCTGGCAAAATGATATCTTACCAGAGAAGAGTAATCATTTGTTAATAACGTCAAACTAACTTACGTAAATGAATAGAACCATAGAAGGAATTTCAAGAAGGTTGGTGGTGGGGGTGGGGGAAAGGAATTAAAAGATGGAATTTTTCCAGGGACTTTCTGAGGCTCCTCCGGTCTACTGTATTAACCAGCGTGAGTTGGTCGGTTTTCTCCCCTGATCATTTTACCTGATGGCTTGTTCTCTTCCTCTGGAAGACACGGTGGGCCGTGGAGGGTCCAAGTCACTTTTCAGCGGCGACTTGTGCCGTGCTTCTTTGAAGTTGTCGTCCTCGGCCTGACTGTCGGTGAGAACTCGCTCTCTCCCGGGGTCGGCGGGGTCGGGGGGCGCACGGGGATCCAGCGGGTCCCGGGGCGCACGGGGATCCAGCGGGTCCCGGGCGGACCTGAGTTTCGAACCAGCGTTTCCGAGGAGAGAGTGCTGACCTCTCTCGGGGAGGTTTTCCACGTCCGAAGTCGGGCACCGGGGCCTGCGCTTGCACTTGCACTTCTTCCGATACCTGCGTTTGCGCGCAGCGGGGCCCCGCGGGGGCTGCGTCTGCGGAGGCTCCTGGGCGCCCGGGTCCCCGGGGAACTCTTCTCTGAACTGGTCCCTGGCGGCTGGGCCGTAGATAGACAGAGGGAGGGGCCTGGCTTTAAAGCAATCGGCTTTCTTCTGGGGCTTAAAAAGCTCCCTGAGCTGGTCCCGGGCCGCTTGCTTCTGCTCCTCGCGCGCCATGAACTTGAAGGGCTTCTGCGAGGCCAGCAGCGCGTCTTTGGCTGCGTCCCGCGCGGCCCGGCGCCGCTCCTCCTGCCGCCGCACCAGGTCGTGGTACATGGGCTCCGAGACGCACGAAGGGACCGGAGTGGCTCGGAACCTCTTCTTCCTGCTCTCGGCCTCCTCTTCCTCCTGCTTGCGCATCAGCGCGCGCAGCATCTCCACGTCCGAGCGGGATCCAGCCTTCTCCCTTTTCTTCTGCTCCCGAAGCGTCATCTGAAAGGGCTCGGGCACTGTGATCGTCGGCACCCATCCTTTGCGCTTCTTCCGTGTCTTTTCCGCGGTGCCACCGTCCGTGTCATCGGACTGAATGTAATCTTCCACCGAGAAGTCCTTCCACATGTTGCTGATGAGCTCCTTAGCGTAGGTCATGGTCGTGGTCCTGCTCTCCCGCGGGACCTCGCGCTCCGGGCCCGGCAACTCCTCCTCCGAGGAAGACGCGTACTCCGAGGAAGACTGGCCCACGTCCAGCTCCGAAGGCGATGGCATCAGGGTGACCGGGGGATAGGAGGCTTTTTCCGAGCCAGATCTAAGGGAGGATAAGCACAGGGCACTTTCAATCGTATGTGACCAAACATAAACATGGAGATGGTTCTACGGTTTCTAAATTCGGGGCTTGATCAGAAAATGGGAGCTGGATAGCCCTTGCAGAAATGATCACTTTTATTCAGAATACTAAAGCTGAGAACCAGGGAGCCACTCGCGGTGACCACACAGGGTTTCTGCGGCTGTATATCTTTTATTTCATTTTTTAATCATTTTATTGGGGGCTCTTATAACGTTCCATACATCAATTGTATCAAGCATAGTTGTGCATATGTAGCCATCATCATTTCCAAAACATTTTCTACTTGAGCCCTTGCTATCAGCTCCTCTTTTTTGTCTTCCATCCCCACCCTCCCACTCTCATGAATCCTTCATCAATTATATATTATTATTTTGTATCTTGCACTGTCCGTTGTCTCCCCTCAGCCACATGTCTGTTGGTGGGTGGTGGTGGCAATATAGCCATGATGGGGTCCACCTTTCTCCCCCTTCCCCCTCCGTAACCAACCCCCTGCCCTCATGGTATCGTTATTCCCACTGCTGTTCCTGAGTGGTTTATCCTGAATTCCATGTGTTGACGGCTCTTATCTGTACCAATGTGTATTCTCTGGTCTAGCCAGATTGGAAGGTAGAACTGGGTCATAGTAGTGGGAGGAGGGGGTTAGGAAGCATTCAGGAACTAGAGCAGCGGCAATCAACCTGTGGGTCATGACCCTTTGGGGGTTGAACAACCCTTTCACAAGGGTCACCCAATTCATAACAGTAGCAAAATTACAGTTATGAAGTAGCAATGAAAATAATTTTATGGTTGGGGGTCACCACAACATGAGGAATTGTATTAAAGGGTCACAGCATTAGGGAGGTTGAGAACCACTGAACTAGAGGAATGATGTGTGATTCATCAGTGCTACACTGCACCGTGATTGAGTCATCCCTTCCTTATAATCCTTCTGTGGGGGATATTCAATTGTCTATAGATAGGCTTTGGGTCTCCACTCCAAACCCTCTCGTTCACATCTATATCGTTTTTTTGTTTTGGATCTTTTGATACCTGATACCTGATCCCGTCTACACCTTGTGATCACACAGGCTGGTGTGCTTCTTCTATGTGGGCTTATTTGCTTCCCTGCTAGATGGCTGCTTGTTTAACGTCAAGCCTTTAAAATCCCAACCACTCTATCTTTTGATAGCTGGGGACCATCTGGTCTCTTCACCACATTTGCTTATATGCCCATTTTGTCTTCAGCGATAATGTAGGGAAGGTGAGTATCAAAGAGTGCCAGGTAATTAGGAAAAAGTGTTCTTGTGTTAAGGGAGGCCTTGAGTAGAGGCCCAAAGTCCAACAATCTTAATACTTAACATATAAATAAATATACGTACATTGGCCTCTAGCCCTTTCATTATAAATTAATATATTTACATATATACATTCCTATAGCTATACCTCTATGAATAGCTTTTGCCTCCTATTTCTTTCCTCTATTTCCTTTTACCTTCCTCCTATCCCACTATCATGCTCACCCTCATTTCGGCTCTTAGTAATTCCTCTCAGATACACTGCACTTCATTAAACCCCACCAGGCATTATATGCCCTCCTCGCCATCAATTTTAGACCTCTGTTGCTCCCTTATCCCTGAGTTTGTTGGCTTCCCACTCCCCTCCCCGCCCCCTCCTCTCCCATGCCCCCGCCCCAGCCCCCAGAACTACTGGTCCCCTTGTTTTCTCCTCCAAGGATGTATATCTTTACGAAAGCAGACGGCCACACCTTTCTACCTCGAACAGCTGGTGAAATTGAGCCTTTTGTTTAGCAGCTGCTGGTTTAACTGCAGCGCCACTGGGGCTCCTTTTTATTCAGATTAAAAGCTGGGAAACAGCCTACATGTGATATAGCTCCGATCTCTCCAGTCACAGGAGGGGAACAGGAGGCAGCAGAGGCACCTTGCCTCTAACCTCTATTGAATCCTCACCTCATTTTCTAGAGTGAGTTTCTCAAAACACGTCAGATCATGTTACTTCCCTGCTTGAAACTTTTCAGTGATTCTTCCTTACTACAAAACAATCCAGCCCAGACGGCCTTTCAAGACTAGCCCTAGCCTCTCTTTCTAGGTTCCAACCCACTACCTCATACCAAAGTCACAGCCCATCACAGGAAGTGCCTCATATACACCCATGGTCTCCCATGCAACTTTGTCTTTGTGTGCGCAGTTCCTGAGGCCTACAGGCCACTTCTTGCCCTCTGCACCTGCCGTTCCTCTACTACGTCAGGGAACTTCCCTACCAGCCTTCCTCCACCACCACTTTGGCACGGTTAGCTGCGTCTTCCTGTCTCATCATGGTCTATCGCAATTTTTGGTTCTCAGTTCATCTTGGAACCCCTGGAGGCCATCCAGCTTTGGAATCCTTTGTGCCCAGTAAGGTTTGGCACAAAGGAGAGATGCAATCAGCACTAACCAGTCGGATGAGCTACAGGACCCGCCTCAGGTCTCCAAGCGAGCAAATCAATAACAGACATGGTCCCAAACAGAACTAGTCCAAAAAATGTACAATTGATGTATGAATTGTTATAAGATCTGGAAGAACTCCAATAAAATGTTTTTAAAAAATGTAAGTCACATTTATATCTCACAGTCTTGAACCCTTTGTACGACATCCTTTGAGCTCATGCTTATCCATGTTTAAAAGGGTTTTCAAAGTAAACTTTAATATTCGTCACTTAAAATCACCCGGACAAAATATCTTGGTACATTGCTATAGTTGTGCAAATGGCAGGCCAAAGAAAAAAGACTAAACGGCAAACCAAGTGACCTTCTTACCAAGAAGTCACCTTGTAGGGTGGTAAGCTATTACACGTTCTTAAGAAATTCCTCCTTCCTCTATCATGAAGAGGGCTGAGTTAGGGAAGACATTCTGAACGACTTTTCCTGGGCCCTTTCAGTGTGTGTGCTTTCTGTTCCAGTCCACAAGTAACACTGCGCCCAAACTGACCTGGAGGAGACCCTGGGGTCATTCTCCCTGATGATCACGGGCTGGATTCCCTTCAAGTTTAATTTATTCTGGTACATTTTCTCCAACTTCGCCATAGTTTCCACGTGGGCGGCCTTCAGTTCTTTTAGTTTCCGGAAGTACTCTGCATTGGAGTGGTGGACATCAGAAAAGTTCACCATGTTCTCCTGGCTTACGTGTTTACGTCCACCCATCCCAGAAAAGTTGCTGTCAACATCAGCCTAAGGAGAAAACAAACAAACTGGTGATGATGTTTGGGATGGAAACACAAAGTAGCTTGATACAGTTCCAAATGCTGCTTCCTAAAGACTCCACTTAATGGGCTGTAAGTTACTTGTAGGCTTTTGACTTTAAGATAGTTTACTAAGAACAAGAGAGCCTAAAGTGCCAGACATGCAATTCTACCCATTTTATAAAGGATGGCTAGATCCCCAGCTCAACCAATGACAGTATTTAATCCATTATATTTGTGGGGCTTAGATTTTTATGCCATCTTGATGGTACCTGTGTGGAGGGAGGGGTGGAGTCCAACCTGTCAATCAAGTGGTAGCCTGGTGAAACCTCCTTGGGGGGTGTGGCCTTTTCTATAAGACTCAAACAACTCACTGCCCTCCAGTCGATGCCAAGTCGTAGCGACCCTACAGGGCAAGGGTAGAACTGCCTCTTTGAGTTTCCAGCACTGCACCTGTTTATAGGGTAGAAAGCCTCGTCTTTCTCCCATGGAGCGGCTGGTGGTTTCAAACTGCTAACCTTATGGATTTCAGCCCAACTAGTAACCACTATGCCAACAGGGCTCCTTTTCTGTAAGACAGGCAGTGAGAACTCCCTCTTGCCCTTTGCCTTCCTCCTTGCTTGGATTCTGTCTGCCTCCAGGGTCGGACCCAGGTGGGTTGCCAACCCAAGAGCTGTCAGCACCCTGCCATGTTCCCACCAACCTCAGATCCACCTGACTCTGCACCCACCATCCCGTGACCTCCCTGCTTCACTTTTCTGCATCAGCGGTCTCAGGCTACATGGGTCTGAAGGGGACTCTGGCTAGCATCATACCCATGGACTGGGATGGCATGCCTTCTGGAAATAACATTACTTCTTGATATAAAGTTCTCTTATACAGACATGATTGCCATTGACTGTTTCTCTAGACAACCGAGCCTAACACATGGCTTACACTATGATTGGATAGACTCCATCCATCTTTTACAAAGAGTTTCTGTAAGGAGACTCGGAGTCCCTGCCTGGTGCAGCTAATGTGGTTGGCAGTTAACTGGAAGGTTGCAAGTTTGAGTCTCTCAGCTGGGCCTTGGAAGACAGGCCAGTAATGCTTGCACAAATCAGTCATTGGAAACTCTATGGTGTTTGGGCCAGGTCCGGACCGGGCAGCCCCCACCTCCTCTCCTGTTCCTCAGGAAGATGAAACCTCAAAGCCCCCGTTCCCAGGCTCTCGGGAGGATGGATGACCTATTGAACTATGCAACTCCTGTCCCAACACTCCAAAGAGCTTATCTCTCCAGCTGGGTTTGTGTAGCCCCTTTTCCAGCACTCCAGAGAGCAGGTTTGCAAACAATGAGATGACTTCCCACAGGTCGCATGCTGACTCAAGGCCCTGCAGCTACAAGCAATTAAAAAATCCCCCTTCCTTCTGTCAATGTACACTTCCTTAGTTCAAGCCCTATATATCTCCCACCGCCTCACTGACAAGCTGCGATTTCCCTGACCTAACTTGTTGGGTCTCGGAACCGGCCCAGGAGCTCAAGATGCTCCTGCCCCTTTCTCTGCTCTCCCTTCCCTCCCGGGAGCTCTTTCCCTACCCTAATAAAGCTGCTCTTAACCTCACGCTCTTTGTTTTTTAACATTTTATTAGGGGCTCATACAACTGTTATCCCAATCCATACACACATCAATTGTGTAAAGTGCATTTGTACATCGTTTCTCAAAACATTTTCTCTCCATTTAAGCCCCCGACATTAGGTCCTCATTTTTCCCCTCCCTCCCCGCTCCCCCCTCCCGCATGAGCCCTTGATAATTTATAAATGGGTATTTTGTCATATCTTGCCCTGTCCGACGTCTCCCTTCATCCACTTTTTGGTTGTCTGTCCCCCAGGGAGGAGGTCACACACAGTTCCATGTAATCGGTTCCCTCCTTCCTACCCATTCTCCCTTTACCCTCCCTGTTTTGCCACTCACAACCTCACGCTCTTTGTCTCTATCCTATCTCCGTTCAGTGTCTCAGTGCTGACCTCTCATATGGGTCACAGTTCTACTGCGACACAGATGGGGACACCACGAGATGCAGGCAATTGGACAGCAACTGACTATGTGGTTGCTAAGAAAGAACCCCACTCCAAGTTGGACATTTTAACTGAGATGCAGAGAAGCACAGGGTCTCCCGCTACACACCAGGCTACATCCCAACACTCTCCCGCTACACCCCAACATTCTCCCTGGAGCTGGGCTCCTGCAGTGTGGGTGCCAAGGGTGTGCCAGGGCAGAGGAGGCAGGGGTATAAGGTGGCAAGGGGGGGAGGGGGAGAGATCCTAGAACAAAGTTCTCAGAGTGGTTCATCAGAGAGTCTGGGAAAAGCCCTCCCCTCGGTAGGATCAGGCTTCGGGAAAGAGTAAAAGGGAAGCCAGAGGGAGTGGAGGGGATTTTAAAAAGGAGCTGGTATCAAAGAGTTCAAGAGAGAAAGAAAAGGTTTTCAAAATGATGGTGGCAACAATTGTACAATTTTGCTATTGGATCTAATGGAATTATGGATTATTATAATATCTGTAAGAGCTCTCAATAAAATGATTTTTTAAAATAGATATACTAATATTTTTTTAAAATAGAAAGACAAGAGTGCTTGCGTCCACAGGTGACAGTGACCCTGAGAGTAACAACCCAGTGGGGCTTATTCCACGTACACATCACACTTCCATGAGGGTTATTTATTTATTTATTATCAGTTGGAATTTAAGACATGTAACATACCATTCCATATTTCAATCATCTCAAGCAAAAATGTACCACAATCAGTTTCCAACCATTCTTTTTCTACACGGACTCCTTGGTATTATCTCCCTTTTATGCTTCTTACCTCCACCACTGTACCCAAACCCCCCTGAAACCCCTTCTTCTACTTAGGTTCATTAATCCCAGGTTTCATACACCCAAAGATGGGAAAGCATCTAACACAGCTTCAAGAGGGTGAGCTCCAATGACCAAACACCGCCGACCTACACCCTACTATGAACGAACAAAAACCAAACCAAAAATACTGAAAACTTCGGAAACCAGATCAGGTCCAGCCTGCATCATAGGTGGATCTACTGACAAAGTTTTAACTATTCAGGTCAGATTTATGCCTTTGATCTTCTATACTCCTCTCTCCCAAGCACTCTGTTCGGTGCCCACATTCCTCCCATCCCTCAATTGTAGACAGGCAGAGTTCTCTGGGTGCGTATTTCCTATGTAGTTCCACAAATGAATCATGGGCTCCTACTGTCACCCATCACCTTCTGCACACTGGATTCTCACAATTTAGGCTCTGGTCCAGATCCCTCCTTCGACTTCGGGTTATATGGATTCCAATCCTTCAGTGGCAGATGATGGTGTGCTTCATCCAGGTAGACTTAGCTGACATCTCTCTTAGATGGCTGCTTACTTGGAGACCAACCTTTAAGACCCAGACGCTATTTTATCTGATAGCCAGGCACCATCTAAATTCTTCACCACATTTTGCTGTAGCACCCGTATCTTCTGTGTTCCCTTTCTGAGGGTGAGTATCGAGCAGGGCCATGATGTAAGAACTAATTATTCTTACACTGGAGCTAGGATTTAGTGTGAACCCCAAACCTATTCTGGATCTATGCTTTTTTTTTCTTTCTTTCTTTTAATTTGCTATAACTTGGGAGGGGTTGACTGGACTTTTTTCTTCATTCCTTTTACATACATTTCACAACTCTTTTTTAAAATTAATCATTTTATTGGGAACTCTTAGATATAACATTCCATACATAGTTCAATCATATCAAGTAGTATTGAACAATTGCTACCACAATCAGTTTCAAAACATTTTCTTTCTTCCTGAATTCCTTGTTATTGTTTCTGAAGGGTTATCTTGGTTTTCATGTCCTGAACTTTCTTAAATATACAAATGAACATCTGAAAATCTAACATGGTTGAGGCGGTAAAACAAATAAAAAACATAATGGTCAGGGGAGGAAATATTAAAGAACTAGAGGATACTCATGTGCTTCTTTAGTGCTGCGCCACACCCCGGATTTATCATCCCTTCCACGTGGCCCTTCTGAGAGGGACTGTCCAATTATCTTACAGGTAGGTTTTGGGTCTCCACTACATCCACGCCCCTTCACATCAATTTGGTTGCTTGCTTTTGAACTTCTGATTCCTCTTCCCATCGACACCTCATGATCACACAGGCTGGTGTGCTTCTCCCATGTGGGCTTTGTTGCTTCTCTGCTAGATGCCCACAATTCTTTTAACTGAAGTAACCAAAGAGGTGAAACCTCATTTACTCCATAAACATATCATTTGAAAAATATCCGCTCAGTTGTGAAACAGCTAAAATTTATTGACGAAGCCCTGCATAAAAGTCTGCCAACCATGGTTTTAAATTTAGCCTGCTGCCTGGAACAGACTCAAAGTGAAAAGTGTATTTGCTATAGGGGATTACAGATCCAATCTGATTAGACTCGAGGAAGTAAATCTGCTTAGATTTTCTCAACAGAGAAATTTCAGGGCTTCCACTGTATATAATAGTTACAGTACAGTGCTTTAATGAGCTAAAAATGGTGTATAAGAGGCTGGTGTTGACTCACTTGGGTAACTCAGAAAAAATCAGAGGGAGGAAACCACTTTTTTCCAATAGAAGTGATATGTAGAAATTGCTTATCAACAAACCACCCCGTTTGGAGAAGTTTCTGAATTCTTCCGCCACCTCTGCATGTGCTTCTTTCTCACCATCCCCTGCTCAGCTCCGAGGTGGACACTTCGGTAATGACACATCTGGGACATCCAGAACTCGGCTCGCTGCCGAGAGCTACGCAGCAGACTGGATCTCCCCCCTTGAGGAGTTTTCAGACGGTTCAGGGGAGCAGGTTGTGGTTGCCGTCCAGCAGATTCTGACTCCTGGCGACTCCGTGTGTGTGCGCACAGGCTGGGACCTCAAAAGTCAAATCTGACTCCTAGCAACCCCAAAGGGCAGAAGAGAACTGCTCTG